TGATCTAGAGGGTAAGTATGATAACCGACTATCTGGAAGGAAACTGTTGATGCATCAGATTTTAATGTGGACGTGAGGACATAGCGGCGACAAAAAAGAGGAAACGTAGTTGAAATACAAAATGCATAGGCCGTCACTTCTGTCCGTGCAGTTTGTACATTGGATGCATAACGTAGGAAGTACTGCCATAATTACCGACCATTTTGACGGATAAAACGAATAGGAAGTATTTAACTTTCCCATCTCATTCCTCTTCTTCCCGCACATCATAAGTTCGGAAGTAACCACATGGGTCATTTACCAGGGGTGTATTCTTCACGGTTGTGCTACTTGCTGTGTGTACTTAGAATGGAACATTCACATTTGAGAAAGGGATAACTCGCCTCGACGCTAACACGCCTGGTATGATGGACTACACAGGTTTGCTGTGATAGTGAGCAGACAAGGACCAAACCCTTCTAAGCAACAGTCTGACTCTAATCATCCAGACCTCTCAGAAAGATGAAAAATAAGATCCCAAATCACCTTACGTTTAATTTTTCAGTAGCATCTTCGGTCGGGCACGTTAAGAAAAACTAAATAAAATCTCAATTAGATTATTTAGAAGAATTGCGTTTCCGGTCTCATAAGGAGAAGTAGGAGCATAAACTCTCCACTATGCTCGTTTACGACTTTAAAGAAAGTAATTCAGCGAAGACGCTTATGTTACCTTTATAACAGCCTGTTGACTGGATTCCAGCAGTTTCTCTTGGAGTTCCTTGAAAATATGGGGTTGCAAAAACTGTTCGACAGCTTCCTTCAAAAGAAGACTGCGCTGTTCGTTCCAGGCCTCTACAAGTGAGCTGAATTCATCTTGGTGGAAGAAGTGCCGCAGATCATCAAGAAGGCAGAGTCCTCGCAATTGATTCTCCGGCATGTGTAGATGGAATTGTATCAGTCGATCGCGTGCACCCTTTACGTGACAAACAATGTAAATATTAAGATGCAATTGAGAAAGGGCAGAAAAGATAAACTCGGAGTGAGCGTTTGAGGGCATAGCAATAAAGCCTTCGGGTGGACGAACAACGCATAAAAGTGAAGCAAAATTATGCGCACATTAAACGGCCACAAGCAGTCTGCCATCCTACTTTTCTCGACCACAAGGT